TCTACAAAAGGAGCGTAAAAGAGTTATTAAAAATGAAGGATCTCTTGGTACGTCAAGCGTCGATTTTACCTAGACTGGAAGTAAACGACGGCACCCCTTGAAATCTCATTGGTCCATTTTGCAACTTGTGACTACCATGAAAAACAAGTCCAGCCGGATTCTTACGGGGTCTGCCTCAAAAACATCCCACATTATTATCAGCGAAAGGAAGAAAATAAAGGGGAGAACACTTAGTCTTTAGTAACAACCATGATAACAGCGATGTCATACTGTATTTTGCAAAGTTATTTAAAAAAATGGCCAATGATATCAGGATTTGACACTCAATCACTGTAGACTTCTTCCCTTACAACCTTTTTGCGAATTTTTTTTTTTTTTACCGTAATGCAGGGATGGCTTCGAAACATTTTGGAAGCGTCTGGGTGCCAAAGATTTTTTAATTTCTTGTATTCTTCCCCGTACGCCCCATGCCATCAACATTTTATTCTGATACTATGTCCTCGTCAATACATCGAAAGATGAGCCGAGCCTACGATTTTATATAATTATACTTGTCGACTAAATGATGAAACATTCTGGCTATGACAAGCTCGGTCATTAAATATTGATCAAGCTCACGCTCCGGTTCCTCTTCTAGAATATTCGGCGAAAATCATGCCCGGTCCTATGTGGAAGTGAAACACGCGAATCAACAAGCCAGGCATTATAATTGATTTTTTTTTTAAGAAAATAAAAGTACGATTTTTTTTTTAGCGGGAGAAAATATCGCGGTTTTTGTTAGGCTGTTTTGTTGTTTAAATGTTCCGGAAATCGACCACCGTCATCAGCACCACTTGACATTTCCCTCTAAATTATTAAATAATTCCAAACTATTGTAAGTTAATTTAGACCTTTTTATAACTTTAATTGAATTCCATGCGCCTCAAGGGTTTTAAATCACTTCCGTTCTGCAGTCAGGTCAAATTAATTTGGCCCCGCACGACGGTAACAAGACATTGATAAATCTCACAATTTTGTCTGAAATCTGCGCTCGATTCTGCACAACTTTTCTTTTGATCTAAAAATGGCTACAAAAGCCAATAAGTAGCAGGGTCTTCGATCAAGAATACCTTTACTTTCTCTTCTTGATCTTTTGTATTATTAAGTGTAAATTCTTCACCTTGCGTGGGTAGCACTTTAATGAACTAAATAGTCCATTAAGAAAATATTTTTACTCATGTGTTTAAAGATTATGTCAACAACAAAGTAATAGTGACGCATTTCTTGCATATTTATGAATTATATGTCTTACTTATGTGTCGAGAAATGACTAGGGAAAAAAACCCAAGCTGTAGGAAGTGTTATCATAGAACGAAATATGGAGCAATTGACCACTGGATTTGACCATACAAATCTTTCATGACAAGGAAATCAACAACAATCCTAATGAGTTTCCTAACTTAAATTGTAACTTTGCTTTGGCGGGCAAGTGAGACGTTACGGAGGTATTATTATCCTTGTGTATTATTTTGTCAGGAAGAAATAACATTTTTTAGCTCAAGTCATCCAAACTTCCGTCTGCCGAGAATTGTCCTCGGACAATCACAATCACAATCTCAACCGTTCAGTCGTGGTATCAGATAAACGATGTAGCTGATTAGGTATCTTTCTGGCAATTGGATAAATATTTAGCTATTAAAAAGATTTAACACCCACGTTAAGTAGAAATGTGGAAAGGTCAACATCGCAAATTTCGTGGCGGCGGCTTTTTCATCTTTGTCAAACTATAAGTGATGACAAAGATTATAAACTGAGATAACTTTATCTCCATGACACACTTTATAATATCCGGCCTAAGCGCATCGCCCACGGTAAGGTGTGTAGTCCATCCAGAGAATTCTGAATAATCTTTCACTGAGTTTTGATGTTGACTTTTCGTACACCAACCCTTTGTGCAAAAAAATAGCTTTTGCAGCAATGGCCTAAATATCTAATCAATCCCAATGTAAATAGTCTCCTGAATTCGATATTTCAAAGCAGTTTCAACATTCCTTGCCCGGATTACACGCGGCAATGCATCATAACTTTCATCTCTCTCCACACTAACCATGAATCCGACTTTACAGAGCTGACACAAATCTTACCTCTAATCCAACCCTAAGTTACTCGTTTTCTTTTCCGCTTTAGTAATTTGTCAGTTCTTTTCTGGTTCGTAGTTTATTTTTCAGTCTGTGGTCTGTATTTTTGTTTTTTTTTCTTTTTATTATTCCTCCTAAGGCGAAATTATAAAAAGGCTCGGGGTCAAAAGGAGCACATCGACCGCCTAGATTCCGTCGATAAAACAAACTGTCGCATAGATAAAAATATGATAAATCTTCGCTCTCATCGATAACGCATTGTTTTTTGGTGATAATTAGCGTGAAGCTTTGGTTGGTTTGTCCCAAATGTAGTTAAGTACGACGATAAAATAATAACTTCACAATGAGCAGCAGTCATTATATCGTTGTTATTAGATCAGCGGTGATTTGAATCCCAGTGCTGTGGTAAGAAAATTTATTCTTTGATCCTGGCCTCCTTTTACAGATATGAAAAGTGCCCCTAACCTCTAATTCTTTTCTCTACCGTTTAGAAAAATTTTTTAGTTTCTGATCACACTGATGACAAAATCGTACTCAGACAATTTTTCTTCGATTTTCTGTGAATTATCAAAATTCGGAAAATACGCCCCACACCAAGTTTAAGGGAGATTAGGTCAAGTTTGGTCTGTGATGTCAGCCGTGGAACTTGTGCAAGAGACGCTGAGAGTGCAAATAGACTTAGAAGTTATCTATATGCCATGATAAATGAATATCGTAGCTATCACTAATTTGCAAGTCCAGCTTCAAACGCCTAACCTCATTATCTCTTCGTTTAAAATTATTTCCACATTCACATTTCTTAGCCGCAACATATTCAAAAACAAGAGTGAACGACAAAGGACTCGACATATAAATGCAACTCTATCCACATAGTATTCACATGACTACTTCGTTCTTTGTCTCTCAGCCTGGATACATGTCAGTAGCAATTTACTGTCAGTTCTATCCGGCAATGAACTCTCGAATGAAGTATGAACTGACGCATAGCAGGTTGAGGAATTCGAAGGACTGAAATAATGCTTGCTAAAAACCGCACTTTCACAAGAAGTTCCTAGCATTTAATTATCACCTTTGACCTTAAAAAGCATCAGTTTTCAAGGGAACATTCACACTCACAACTTCCCTCTTTAGGCACAGAAGACTGCGATTGATCTCGAATCATTGTAGATCGATCACACGTGGATATTTTCATAAACTGTTCATTTCTGTGCGTCTGCTACTCAACACTGTTATTATGCCACATATCATTTCCAAAAGCTTTTTTGTTGTTGGTTCTTTCACTGATTGCGGTCATTGATAAATGTCTTTACGGTGACTTCACAGTGGAAATTTTAAGTGCTCTTCATTTGAACTACGATGTTTTCACATGATCTATATATTATCCTCTTGCCGGCCCACATCAGCTACTGTATTGTACATTTATCAGTAAAGTAAACGCTTATTTGCAGGTATGTTAATCGGCTTTGTTCTTTACTGATTCTTCTAGTCCAGGAGACGCTCATTCTTCCACGATTGCTTTCGATATTCTGTCGTTATTCAAAAATCAGTTATCTATCAACCTAGTAGAATCATCTTATTTTAAACAGTACTTTTACATTACTCAGCATCCAAACAGTAATTTTACGTGTGTTAGTACATTATTACACGTTCCAGTAAAACTCATAGAACTCTTATCTCTTGCAGGAGACCCGTGAGATCTGGTTTAATGAACTCGTAATTGTGCTGACTTATAACAGTTGCTGGTTTGTTTAAATGATTTGTTTAATATCGGGGAATTAATTAAAGATCCTGAGATTCAAACAACCTTAAATTCATCCCGAAGCCTTATTACGTGTTATTTTGGTTATCAAGTCCACATTTTGTAATAGGAAATACTATGAGAGTATTCCTAATTGGACGTAAGAGTATTTCTTAATTATTAAGAATATTAAACACCTAGAAATGATTACTTGAATTTGTTTTCTCTGTCCAGTCATCGTCTATCATTATCTTTTATCTGAGTGTTGATCATACTACAAAAAACTCTGATAAAATTTGGTTGAAAGCCAATGCAATGGAAGTTAACAAATTTAACGGTCTAATGAAAAGAATGGTTGCGAAAGCCGATCTTGACAACTCTTTCCTTACAAACCACAGTGCTCGAAAACGAATAATTCAAAGATTAAATGAAAAGGATATTTTCCTAGTCATACAATGCAGTTATCAGGAAACAAAAATGTACAGAGTATTAACAATTACAGTCATGTTTCACAAGAACGACAGAAAAGTATGCCAAGAATATTCAGTCGCTCGACTTCAATGGTTCAAACTAAAACACTCTCTTGTCGAAACAACAAAACAACAAAGTCCAACGCCGACAGCAGCAAAGCTCTTTCTGGGTACTGTGTTAACGGATGAAATTTCACCATCAATATCAATTCGTCCTCGTCTTCAATAGAATCACATAAAAAAAAAACAAACTTCTAAACGAATAAAACGCATATTTGACTCTTCAGACGACGACGACAGTCCACTTTTGACATAGAAAGAGTCCGCTGCGTTGAAAAGCTGAGTACTTATTTTTGTCTAGCTTTCCCTCCTTTTTATTCTGTATACTCTTGAATGAACACCACGAAAACCTAACTCGTTGTGATGAAATTGTTATTCTGTAAAGTTAGTTAATTCAATTCAGCATTTTACTAGGCTATTTCTAGCCTTGATTTAATTTGTAAGACACTTTTTGGCGAGTTATTTAGAAAGCTTTCAAAACTACATGGATACTTGTAAAAGCGATTTAATAAATCGACATTTCCTTTTTGGAAATCTATATATCTAACCCTGTTTCTCTGTGTTCCATTTACAAATGAAAACAGAAAACGCTCCAAAGGAAAAAAATAGAAAGTTTTAAAATGAAACTGGTCTAATTTTCATCTCAGCTCTCTTGGCGGAGTAGTAATATCCCTTCCAGTGATTCCAATTGACTCCATCGGCATAAGATGAGTGCTTCCCATGATGATAAAGTCCATTCAGATTAGAATCATGGCAGCTCTGGTACCACCAGGCTCCTTTGAAGATCACAGCACAGCTACTAGACGAATCGTCGTTGTCCTGATCTTTGGTTGAAAAGGGACGGCCACGATGAGAAGAAAGAGAATCGCCGGCAGTTCCTGAAAAAGCCACCCAAAGAGCATTAGAAAGGTTCGATGATGTCTGAATTGCACAAGAAAAAGCGAATTTAGCATAATCAATATTAACTCCCTTTCTTACTTTCAAAGCGGGCCGGAATCCTAAATTCGTTCATTGGACAGGCTAGTTGAGTGAAGGCAACCGAAACAGTTGTTGCCTTGTGATAATGATGTATGATAACTATAATGATAAGAATCATACTAGTAATAATGATAATGATAGTAATAATGAAAATAATAACGACACTACTAATAACATCATTATAGTACTAATAATAATACATTACAAATCATTGATAATATAATACATGATATAATATAATACTTATTGACTTATATTGTGTAGTTATCAATATGAAATATTTAATTAATTGCGCATCACGATGTTAAAAGCTCGAGAAGAGTTAGATGAGGAAATGAGGTTTTAATAGGGTGAAAATGAGGTTTGATTGAGTGAAAATGACATAGCACCGGTTCATGATCAGAAAAATAGCAGTCTACTCGATATGTAGATCTTATAATCTGGTTACACTAGCGGGAGATGATTACGTCCAGGTAAAAGAACACTTTATGCTCTTTCGGTCCGGGTGTGACCATGAATATCGGTGGGGCTCACCGTTGTAAACAGAAATATTCCAGCAGATACAGAAATTAACTTGACTCACTATTGTTTGGTTCATTCACATATGTATTAAAGTCACTGATGAAAATCCGTTATTATTTACATAAATTACAATTTCTAGACACTTTAGTCACCAAACTCAGTGAAAAACGGTAGTCAAAGGGATAAATTATAATGGAAAGGAAAAAGTTTAAATCGTAATCTATCATCATCACAACTCAGCCAAGTCTCTGTAGCAGCAACTTGGTCAGCTTTACAGCCCCAAATATAATACTAAATGACCGCTGACGTGTTTCTGACAGAATGCGACTTTCTGTAGCCGTGACGGTCAGTAGCCGTGGCACGCCCTTTTTAACCTACTATACATATCACGCTGGACTTAATTAGGGTGATTCCTCAAATTATCAAATGTACATATATTTTTTAAACTCGCCTCAACTGTTCCCTAATATTGTTTGTTTCGAAAAATTAAATTAAATAGATAGATCAACATGCTTGTTTGAGGGATATGATGAGCCAAACTTTCCCCGTTTATGCCTGTAATGAGAGTAATCGCGCACGTCATTTCATCGATTCACGATACACTTTGCAGAGGCTGGAAGCAAGGTCTTTTAAAATAGCAGTTAAAAAAAACTTGATAAGTAGAAAGTATCGAAAATATGGAAAAATTTGATGTATAATTTGTGTAAAAATGACGTAATTTTAAGCGACATCAACTCGAAACGTTGCTCGAGGTCATGATTTGAATTCTCAGGTCACTGGCTTCGTAGACGGTTTTAGCTATATTTATTTCCCTTCGATGAATTTCTTTTCTTATTTCTCCAATAAGAAGGGGATGATTTGCCCACCAAAATTATGCAATAAAAATATGGTCTATTTAATTATTGAAAAACAATAAACACCTTGTTCTCTGAATGCGCGCACGCTTATTCGCCTGATTACATGACTTAAATGCGCATCCCCAGGATTCACAGAGCAATACTATGGAATCACCTTTACATTGAGGCCCACGATCTGGAATTTTTCTTATCAGTTTCAAGCTTATGACTTGCACAGGTCGTATTGCTTGTTATTGTATGTCGCTAATCTCTCGTTTTATTTGTTCTCTCAATAATACACTTAAGTTAATCTGAACTAACTTAATCTAAAAGGCAAAGGGTGCAATGAGTAAATTCAAATAAAATGACCTTTTTAAAGCAATTGAAGTTTATTTGTAAGTTGGAGATGCAGTGCTGCGTAATTTGTGCTTTTTTTCGTCTAAATTTCGTTATTATTCGTCTCTGTTGTGTGCACTGCAGCCGCGAGCGATACTGAAGAAATCGGGCACAATATAAACATGATATTTATGAAAAAAAGATATATGTACCCTACCACATTTTAAGCCACATTTAAAGAGAAAATATTTTTTGAACACGTTTAGTCTCACATGTTAAAGTCCACGACGAAGTACTTAAGCCTCTATCAATAACAAATGGTGGCGAACATTTTTCTCCTACCTGAGTAACTCCCAAGGCTAAGCGTGTACTTAGTCCTCTCACTGCTAACTGCAAACATGCTGTACTCAGCGTAAACAGTGCTGCCTGTGGTGTCCATCATATCTACTCGGAGCTTGTTCTTTTTTTTTGTAAGGCGGTGAATCTTGTCCAGTCCCAGCCAAAACTCACCATTCAGATTACCAAAGCCGTTCTTGTAGTCGGTCCAGCCGCGGTAGAAACTTACCGATCCATCCATTCTATTTTGAAAAACTGCCCACCCACCACCGGCTGTTGTTTGGTCACAGAATACATCGAAGGCACCAGAACCATCGGGGTCGATTGTATAAACACCGCTGGTTGTTTTACCAGATTTGTACAGCCCTGCGCAGCTAGCTGTTGAGTGAAAACCTAAAACATTAAACATTTGAAACTAGAGCGGGATAAGCAGGTCGAAAAGAAGTGTTCATTTGAAAGGCGAGTCTGTTCTGTATTGCATGTCACTCAATTCCAAAAACTGAAGCCCCCCCTGCGACACCTTCCTTTTCAATGTCCCTCTAGGGATCGAGAGTTAGGGAGGCGTTTTTTTTTTTTTTTTTTTTTTTTTTTTTTTTTTCATTATTACCAGATGGATAGAGAGTACGTTGACTCTTTGAGGTGATTTCTTACTTACTTGATCTGTTACAATTTATCTTTCCATCTCCTATGTATCCTGCTGAACATATACAAGAGTAGGAACCAGGAGTATTGACACACTTAGCTTTTGCATGGCAGGGAAATGACCCTGAGCTGCATTCGTCTACATCTGTCTTAACGAAAAAAAAAATATTATTTTTATGGTATATGTAATATTTAAAATAAATTTTAAAGACATGTCATGGCTAGACTCATGCCCTATTAGTTTAATGTTTTTGAACCGTCTCCTAGTGAGTCTGAACTTTATTCAATTTTTATAACAAAGCTACGAAAGCGAAATGGCATTTATTTTCAATTTTAAACCAAGACAAAATGGTGTGATAATTCATCACAGTATTACAGGTTTACAGTTTAATTTTTATTCAAGACCATAACATTGTTTCTTTTAAATGAAGGTTAATAATTTGACAAACCCGAGCAATTTTTCACATCCAGACGAAAACCAACAGGACATCGACATGAGTAAAAACCGTCACTGTTCACACAAGAGGCGTTCAATGGACAATCGTTGGAGAAATCGTTACATTCATTGTAGTCTGTTGACGAAAAGATAGAAATCAAGTTGTGTAATCTCCATGGTTTTACTGGACAAAATAAGGGATTTTTTTTCTCTTTTTCCATTTTTTCCATGGAAATGCTCAAGGAAATCGACAATTCAGCGGCGGTCGATTATCTGACGCAGAAAAAAAGAGCTAAGATTTCGCGCAGTTTCTTTTTTGAAGGTAAAAAAAAAAGAATGTCTATCTTTATCAGTTACAAGGAGGGATGATATATACAGTAAAACATTTAGAAATGCTGTTCATTTTTCATCACTACTGCCAGATTCAATTTGGCCCCAAAATTATGTCTTACCTTTCTTACAAGTGAATCTGTGACAGTCACTGCAATTAACATCGTTCCATTCGTATCGATGATCTTGAAGGAAACCAAGCGTATGAATACAGTCCTCATCGTGAAAGTTGTTTGGCTGGTGTTCCGCCCAGTAATGGAAGTCGTACGATGTTCCATCGCTCCATAGAAATTTCCCTTCAGTTTTTACATCGGAGAGCCCCAGCCAAGAATGCTCCCCATCATGTAGACTTTGAACATAAACATTTTCTT